CTGGCTTAAAAAAAGAGATAGATATGGATTCAAAATTTCTTCTGTATTTTGCAATGCTATTTTTAGTGGTGGACAAATTTTTATTTTTAGTTCCGTCTCTAAGCCAATCAATGATGAACAAATAATTATGTTTTGACCCTTATAAAAAGGAAAATATCCCTAGACACTGTTCCCCTGATTCAACTCAAGGAATTCCATTTCTTTCCGACTTCTCACATCATCCGGGAAATACTTCTCAAGAAAAGATTTCTTAAAGTTATCCCAATTCAAGTGCACCCTTCCATCAATCATTCTCCAAAGTGCTCCTTCCAACCAAAAGTGAGCATCAGCAGTCAACATGAAGGTGGCCAACTTCACCTTCTGAGTAAGGGGACAATCCATGACATTGAAGATACTACAAATCTCAGTTAGCAAATTCATAGCAGCATCTGGGTCATATCCTCCTTTAAAGGTAGGTGGGTGATTTCGTTGAAATTGTTCCAACCAGTTAGGAGCGACCTCAGCTCTATTATTATTATTATTCATAGCTTGTGCTAATGCTTGAAGAGCATCAGCAATCGCGCGATCATTTTTACCAGCCATAGTCTAAGAAAATAATACAATTAATAAACATAATCAATCATCATACAAGCATACCAACAAGTTTCACAATCAATTCAGTCCATCATTCATGTACCAAATAAGCATAGTAAAAAAAATAAGCATAGTAAACTCATAACTCATGGTCGATTGGATCGACCTGCTCTGATACCACTAAATGTAACACCCTCTACCCCAACATTAATATACAACAAATATAACAATAAAATTTTTCTTTTCTTCTTTTTGGGTAAATAAAATCTTTCATAGTTTAATAACATCTTTCATGTATAAAATAATTGTTTCAAATATCATAAGGTAGAAGATTCACATTCATAACTCATCAATCATAAAAAGTCAACATATAAGTATTAAAACCCAAGGAATCATATAAAAGAAAATATAGATTAATTCCAGCAAAGGTGGCAGTGCCTCCTAGTTAGGAATTAATTTGTAACTTTAAAATCATGTAATAAAATAGTATGACAAAGATGTACATTTTGGTCTTTTCTCAAGAACGTTCAAAATTACAAAAGAAGAGAAAATTAAAGCTTTTAAAAATAATAACATATTAAACTAAGCTAGCTATGTCCCGATGTCACATCCTATCAGAGCATGCCCAACTGAAGCCTTAAGCCTCATCAACCACATCCTCATGATGTTGATCGCCTGCAACATAATTTAAACACATACAAAAGCAACAAGGGAGTGAGAAACATCTCACTCAGTTTTAGGTGCAGAAATAACTGCTAGATAGCACACACACACACACAACATATATAAGTCACATGTAAACAATACACATAAATAGTCAATATCACATATATATTCATTTATCATGCTTATGATGTCATGGACTCGACTCATAAATGCATGCATGTGGCGCCATACGGAAGATTCACAATTCATCGTTGGTGACCCTAAGGTACACCTGGCTAGCATGTTACATCGTGGGTGACCCTAAGATACACCTGGCTAGCATGTTACATCGTGGGTGACCCGAAGGTACACCTAGCATGTTACGTCGTGGGTGACCCAAGGGTACACCTAGTTAGCATCGTTGGTATGCGGCCTCAGCGGCACACCTGGAGTAATATATGCATATGATGCATGTCATACATTCATAATCTCATTGACCCAACATTTGACTTATTACAGAATTTCATTAAGTACATCATGTCATCATTTTTCATGTCCTCATAATCACATCTTGTCTCAATAGTCCATTCTTAGGTCTTATATCATTTGTCCATATTTCACATGGTCATGTCATAAATACTCCTCATAAGGTCCGCATAGGAATTCACAGAGATCCAGAGAGCATTCTTTTTCATATTAGAACCCATTTATTATTTAACATTAATTTCATATTCATTTATTACTTTGAACAAAGAACAAAGTAGAATAAATAGAAAATCGGACAGAACAACGACACCTTCAACAAAGAACAAAGTAGAGTAAATAGAAAATCAAACAGAACAACGGCAAGAGATTGAGATTACATAATCATTTATTATTTCCAACAAGAAATAAAGTAAAGCGAACAGAAAATAAGACAGCACAACGGCAAAGGATTGGGGGCCAATCCGACAAACAACTATCCAACAATTATCCCCACACCCCTGAGCGAGGTTCTCACTCCCCCCCTTACCTGGATAAGTGGAGCTGGAACTTGGGCAGAGCCTCCTCTTCTGGGTTCCCTCTTTTTCTTTCCCTCTCTTTCTTTCTCTTTTTTCTTTCTCTCTCTCTTTTTCTCTCTTCTTTCTCTCTCTAAGATTTTACCTCTCACTCCGTTATATTTTTTTTTCACCCCTGATGCCCCTATTTATAGGCATTCTGACACACCCGAAACGGCCCGTACTGATTTTGGAATAGCCCGTTCCGGATCCTTCAAATCTGGGCAAAATTCTCAACTGGAACGGCTCGTTCCAAAATCGGAACGGCCCGTTCCCGAAAAGCAGAACGGCCCATTTTGAAACCAGAACAGCCCGTTCCAAAACCCAACAGAACGGCCCGTTCTGCTTTCAGAACGGCCCGTTCTCCCTTCCAGAAAAGTCCGTTCCAGGCCCGTTCTGGGACAACAAAAACAACACGTTTGCAACATTTGGAACGGCCCGTTCCGGAACCCAAAATACTCCTATAACTTTATTAAAATTACGAAAATACCATTAAAAAATTGGGTGTTACATTCCTAATATTACTAAAAGTCTTGTTAGTGTTAGTCAGTTTGTAAAAAGATAATAATGTTTTTTTTTAATTTCATCCTAAATTTTGTCTTGTGAAATGTTAAGGTTCTAATGAAGTTCTTCTCCAAGCTGCACTTGGCCAAGATGGACTTTATAAGTTCTTCAGTCTTCATATTCCTAGTGCACAAAGCAAATATTATAGATTTCTTGTTGTAAATACCATTTCTTCTGTTAATACATGGCACTATAGGTTAGGCCATCCAAATAAAGATACTTTACGCCTTGTATTGCATTATTTTAATGTTTCTAAATTTAATAAAATTGAGTTGGAATTATATTCTTCATGTTGTATGGGTAAATCACATTGTTTACCTTCACATACATCTTTGACTGTATATTATGGTCCTCTTGAGTTAATATACATTGACCTTTGGGGTCCAGCCGCTTTTACATCCTTTGGAGGTCATAATTATTACATTACTTTTGTAGATGCATATTCCAAGTACACTTGGTTGTGTTTTGCTAAAAACTAAGTTTGAAACACTCAAAGCTTTTCTACATTTAAAAAACATGGTTGAGTTACAATTTAATTGCAAAATTAAACCTTTACAAATAGGTTGAGGGGGGGGGGGGCAGTAAGTTTGAAACACTCAAAGCTTTTCTACATTTAAAAAACATGGTTGAGTTACAATTTAATTGCAAAATTAAACCTTGACAAATGGGTTGAGGGGGGGGGGGGGCAGAATTTAGACCGTATTCTAATATGCTCCCACAATTTGGGATTATACATTAACTCACCTGTCCATATACACATCACCAAAATGGTGTGGTAGAAAGGAAACAAAAGGCACATAGTGGAATTATGTCTCACCCTCCATGCTCATGCTTCTCTACCCTTCAAGTTTTGGGATCATGCATTCTCAACTACTACATATTTTATTAATCTCTGCCTCTCTCAATTTTAGTATTCCACATATCAAGCTTTACAACACATACGAGTGTTTGGTTGTGCTTGTTTTCCACTAATGGGACCATATAATCAATATATATAAAATAGACTTCTAGTCATAAGAGTGTGTTTTTCTTGGATATTTTTCACATAAAGGATATAAATTCCTCACATATATTGATAATATTATAATGTCCAAGGATGTTATATTTAATGAAATTTGATTTTCGTATTCTACTCTTTTTCCTTCCTAAATATCTTCCCCACAGTCATCTACTTCTATTCCTCCCATTACTATTCTTCCTCATTAAAACAATTTCACTACTATTTCTAACATGTCCAACCTTGTATCTGAACATTGCAATTACTTTCTAAGTCAATCAACCACCCAGTTCAATCACACCAATGACTTATCTAGTACTCTTCCTTCTCCACTAAACAGAAATACTCATCTTATGACTACTAGATCTAAATTCGCAGCTATTAGAAATGTTCCCATCTCTCAAGTTGAACCTAAGAATGCTAAAAAGGCTCTCAAAGATCTGAAGTGGAAGATTGCCATGCAAACTAAATATGATGCACTACTTAGAAATAACATTTGGTCTCTTGTTTCTTTACCTCTAAACAGAGAAGAAATTGTCTGCAAATGGGTTTTTCAAATTAAAGAAAATCTAGATGGAACAGTTAACATGTATAAAACCAGGTTGGTGGCTAAAGGGTTTCACCAAAAACCAGGTTGTGACTATACATAAACATTTTCCCATGTAATTAAACCAATTACTATGCATATTATTCTTACTTTGGCACTAACCTCCAACTGGCTTGCCCAACAACTAGAGGAAACTTCATGAGGAAGCTTATAAGGAACAATCTCAAGGATTTGAACACTTTGATAGATATCTAGTGTGAAAATTGCACAAAGCTCTATATATCCTCAAACAAGCTCCTCGAGCTTGGTTTGAAAGGCTCAAAAAAACTCTTTTAGAAAGAGGATTTACAACCAATAAATATGATCCTTCAATATTTATGTACAAATATAAATCTAATGTTATCTACCTTCTTTTCTATACAGATGGCACTATTTTAACGAGTGATTCTCAACAACTACTTCAACAACTTAATTTGCAGCTTAATGGTGTGTTTGCTCTAAAACAACTTGGTGACCTTGAATATTTCTTGGGCATTAAAGTACACAAGTTGAAAAATGGCTCTATAGTTTTCACTCAAAAGAAATACATTCACGATCTACTAGAAAAAGCTAAAATGGGTGAAGAAAAAAGTATCTCGTCTCCTATGGTTTGTGGTCTCAAGCTCTTTAAACAAGGTTTAGATTATTTTCTTGACTCGACACTATACAAATCAATAGTTGGATCTCTCCAATATGTTACTCTTACGTACTCACCTAGAAATATCCTTTTGTATTACCAAATTTTGCCAATTTATGTCAACACCCTTGGAGGCTCATTGGGTAGTTGTCAAAAAAATTTTAAGATACCTCAAGGGTGTATGCAACTGTGGCCTTCTTCTATGGCCAACAACTTCTCTCAAACATCTTCAAATCACTGCATTTTCTGATGCAGACTAGGCCTCTAATCCAGATGATAGGAGGTCCACCTCTAGCTCATGTATCTTCTTAGGACCCAATCTCATATCTTGGTGGTCAAAGAAGTAGATTATTGTTTCCTATTCATTAATAAAAGCTAAATACAAAAGTTTAACAACCATAACTATTGAAACTCTATGGATATAATCTATTTTACAAGAGTTGCATGTAAACACTAGTCTCTTGCAATATTTTGTGACAACTTAAGTATAGTTGCATTGTCTCACAACCCTATTCTCCATGCAAGAATCAAACACATGGAGTT